ACCGACGACTCTAGTAGCCGTCGGATAAAAGATATACGGGCAAGTAATCGCTTCCGCTACATAAAGGTCAGTCCTATATATATTTATATATGCGTTATATAAAACCACTAATACATAGCTTTTTGCATCAGTTATCTTCGTCTGTCTGTCACACAGTTTATTATGAAATTGTTTCGCACTTTATCAATTATGTTCGCATCTTTGTCGCATAATTTGTTGCTTAACTATTTCTCACTTTATCAATTATCTTCGATGTGTCGCATAGCTTATCGCATTATTGTTTCGCACATTATCAATTATGTTCGCTTCTTTGTCGTATAGTTTATTGCACAACTATTACGCACTTTTTCAATTATCTTCATCTTTCTATCGCGTAGCTTATCCCACAATTATTTTGCATAATTTATCGTATAGGTTGTTTCGTACATTACAAGGTGAAAAAATTAACTTAATATTTGACAGTGTGAAAAACTTGTTCCGTCTTTGAACGGGGTGAAAATAGTTATTTATTTTAAAGCATTCATGTAATCCATGTAGGTTTGTTGAGTGATGTATGTAACTATTTTATTTGTTGTAGTATATATAACAGAGTGCACAACGAATTTAGAATAATAGTAATTTAAGAACTATATTATTTAGTTACGTCAAAGAATTTTACAAATGGAGTATTTATGTTGTAGTTAGTTTTATCATGGTTCTGAAAACCGAACGTGACCAAACCGGTGAAGTTACTGGTTCAATGGTTCACTGATCGGACCAACGTTCGAACCGGTCAAATTGATATATAATTTTTATTGATATTATATGTATAATATATAATTATATATATTTTATAATTAATTTTATACTATATGAAATTTCTCTAAATAAGAGTACAATTATATATACAACCGACAATGTTGAATTTTTCTTTTTTTTTTCCAGAACGATAGGAAATTCTCACAACACCACAAACAAATTATAAATGTTTTGAAATCATACAAACTACATACAAGAACTCGGGCAAAAACTCGGAAAAAAAAAAAGAAAAACTAAAAACCGAGAAATGGAAACAACCAGAGAGAACCGTACGAAAACTGAATGTACGGCCTGGACAAGCAAACAGCTGGACCAAACACTACTAAAGGCAGTCGACAATACACTGAAACCTTCAGCAACAAGTAAGACCAACGAAACCAAACAAAGACAACAAAAGAACAAAAGAAATAGAAAAACCACCCCACAACTCTAGCCACTGCACTGTAAAAGAAAGCAGGCCTAGCTAAGTTGGCCGCGGCCTCTACTCCTTTTGGTAGCCACCTGAGAAAATTCCATCCACTCGCGCATAACTATTTGAACTATATTCCTTTTCGGTCTCCAAATTTCTTCAAATTTCCACAAATTGCGCGACTTCCACATCCACCATAAAATATAAGTCGTTAGCTGTATTCTGGCTTCCGAAGTCGCCGACTTGTCAACTGAGCAAATGAATCCCCAGCAGTCCTTGAACCTGCATTCATTACTGTCTATTCCATCCCACCTGACTGGAGCATGTTTCCAGACCGCCCGTGCCCTTCTACATTTGAAAAAAAACATGTTAGATCGTTTCAGCCTCCTCCCCGCAACTGATGCACATGACATCAACAACCATGCCACGGTTTCTGAGGTTTACAGTTACTGGATGTTGTAAACTTTTTTTCTTATTTTAGTTTTATATTTAAAATTTTAATCAATATTTAATTTACAAAATAGTTTGAATAAAAACAACCCTATTTTCATTTTAAATCACAACTTTTTTTATTGATAAAAAAATAAAAAATTAAAAATAATGTGCAACAATAAAATAACTTACCTTTTTCAAAAAAAAAAAAAAAATGGAATATATAGCTCAATAGATAATCTAACAATACATATTTTCAATGAGTACAATTTTACCTGTTAGACCCAATATTGGCTTAATAATTTAAGTAACGAAACATATACCACATCCTCCCTATATATTATTCCCGAATGTGCTGAGCCTACGTGGCTGCTTCTGGTGCTTCGGAATCCTACTTGGCAAAGAATCATGCTTCGTAATTACGTTTGGACAAATAATATTGATATACTAATAATTAATAATTTAGGTTTGGACATTCCATAAATATTATTTCTTAACTTAGGTATTTTAATATCACTTGTACTAATATAACTCTTTATTTCTTTGTAATTTTACCTACTGAGGCACTAAGTGACTAATATATCCCTGACTTTTGATTTGTTTTCTTCAATTAGCTATTGAATTATAAATGTATTTTAAAAGTCGATAACTTCTGTATTTCGTATCGGTTTTACATATATAATATATCAAATTAATCATATTTTAATGATCTTCACTTTGACATCCATATTGTATATATGAAATAAATAAATTATATTTATATTTATAATAACAAAAAATAGTAATATATTAAAATTCATTAGAAAAATAAAATTATTTCTCAATTGATATATTTATGCTTAATGAAGTTATATGTTGTAAATTAAAAAAATTATTATAATATAACACATGTAAGTTGCACAAATAAAAAGTGTCATACTAAATATATAGAATATATATAATTTTATAAAAAGTATTTAAATTTTCAACTACTTTTTGTCATTAATTTTAGATTTTAAGAAAAAATTAGCAAGCACCCGTGTAATACACGGGCGTTGTACTAGTAAGATATACAAATAAAAAAAGTGTGCTATTTAAACCACTTCACAATCTACCAAGTTCAAATTCATAAGCTTGAACCGGTGAACCATTCAAATCAGTCCCGGTTTAACCGATTTTGGATCGGTTCGAAAAGTTCTTGACCGGTTCTCCTGCATAGCGGTTCGAAGGCTCAAACCATACCGGAATGAAGGCCGGTTCTCGGACCGGTTTTCAGAACAATGAGTTTTATATTTTCATTTGTAAAAATCTATATTTTTTATCAAAATCTCTCTCGGGAAAATAGGGGCGGTACAGCCGGACTTTGACATAAACAAAGCTCCTGGCTGTCAATCGATCAACCGAGGAGCTGGGTCTCAAAAAGTTGGGCTCTTGAGTTGAACTGTCAACTGAATCGAAGCCAAACCTAGACAATCACGGCAAAAATGGCTACTGTGAGCTCAGTCTCGAAGGTCACTGCTCTATTTGCCCTAGGCATTTTGTTCGCATCGCACTACGTGTCTGTTGACGCGAAGCCCAAGTCGCCGTCAGCGTTCGTAAAGAAGACGATCTCATCTCACACCATCGTCATCTTCTCCAAATCTTACTGCCCGTAAGTTTCCTTTTTCCAGATCTATTTGATTGTTTGGTGGTGATTTGTTGTTACTCATTTTTCATGTTGTTGATTGATTTTATATGTTGCTCTGTGCGATTTTGAAATTGAGCTAGGAGGTTGGATTCCGTAGTTAGTTTGCACATTTGGGTTATTTTCTTTCGTTTTACTTATTTGTGCTTATGCATTTTTCTTTCATTAAAGGAAAATGGTACAAGGAAAATGCTACATTGATAACCTAGTGTTTGTACAAGTCCGTGGATTCGAGTGCAAGATAAAGAAATATTCTATGTTTAATGATACTACCGAAGACTTAAAAGTTAAGCTATTCGGTGAAATAGTGGGTTTATAGATATTTTGACCTTTAATTTAGATAATAGACTGTCATCTGAATGCAATGGGTCTGTCGTCTGAAGGCATTGATTAACTCGGAAGACGTTGGGGGCAGGATAAGCCCGTAAACCTGTCTCAGTCTTGAAGTAAATCATATTTCTTAAGATCCATGTTAATCATAGTTCAAAGGTATGTAGTATGTCATATATTACATAGAGTTTCTGATTCGGCATTAGAGACCATTCATGCTCATGATGCTGATGTTAATATCCTTATCAAAATCCAAACTTTGTTGGTAAAATCTTGTGCCAATTTGTGTGGGGATTCTAGTGAAATTTGCAAGGAAATGGTATCGAGACATTCTCATGTTTGTGGTTGATGGTAGTGTAAAATGCTTGAACTGAGACTGACACACACACACACATCACAGAGGCGCACACATGTATGTCCTGTTAATTTAAATTGCTGTAATTGGTTGCAGATACTGTAGAAGAGCAAAAGCTGTGTTTAAGGAGTTGAAACAAGATCCATATGTTGTGGAACTTGATGAGCGAGGTTTGTCTTTTAATATCTCTCGAAGGTTATCATTTGGGTCTGAAGCAAATATAGCTTGGATAATGTACAGTGATAAATGGTGCCATATGCATTTTCCTTGAATTTGTTCGACTGGACTGTTACACAGGTTGAAAACTAACTAGGGGAGTCAAAAAAAAAAAANNATAATAATAAATAAATATAATCTGATACAAAAGGTGCCAGTCTTAGAAGAGTAGCTTATGAGCTCCCGGTACATTTTGGATTTTCGTGAGAAAAAGTATGTTTAAGTGCTTCCAAGCAGTAATCTATTATTCTGGTTTCCATTTATTTATTTAGAATCGAAGAGTATGAGAGCTTTGGTTCAAATTTCTGATGCTGATTTTGGTTTGCATGACAAAAAATCACCATCTTTTCTTCTTTTGAATTACTCTTGTGTCACTTAATCAACTTTTAGCGTGCATTCACAAACACTATGAACTTTTTACCGTCAACAACTTGTAGCTTCTATTACGACGATTAATTATTTTTTATAAGAAAGAAGGGTGAAGTTTTTGGCAAAGTCTCCCTTCTTATTATGCAATTACTTACATAAGAACTCTGTCTCTGTCTCTAATTTCCCCTTATTCCTTGTATGATTGTAGATGATGGTGGTAGTATTCAAGACGCCTTGAGTGAAATAGTCGGTAGGCGAACTGTACCTCAAGTTTTCATAAACGGGAAGCATCTTGGAGGCTCTGATGGTATCTTCTCCATTCCAATCCAAATTGATCAATTTAATATATCTAAAGTAACCCTAGCAGCCTTTTTTGTACTGAACGATTGAGTGTACTTGTTTGCAGATACTGTTGAAGCATATGAAAGTGGAAAGCTTGCAGAACTTCTAGGCCTTGGTTCTGATGATAAGGAAGATCTTTAGGCGGTTCTATCTTTTTAGTTTCTTCTGTTGGCCCGTAGAACATAGTAAGTAACCGGATTAAACATACTTGTTTCTAAAAAAAAATCAGACTTTCTAGCTTTATGCTTATCCAGGATTTTCATAAGTTGGTTGGCGAATTTTAGCAGGGTTTTTGCAACAATCAAGGAAAACCATTGCCCAACCAGAAAATTTCGTTGATACGGGGTTCTGTGCAAAATGATCACAATATAAGAAAAAATGCATTAGGATTGTACCCAAATCTGCAGATAAATATGGAACTTGTCTTACATACTTACCTCTTGTTCTGTGTTGATAAACATATTGGCTGTCTTTCGAGCATGCATTAGGATTGTACCAAAATCTGCAGATGCATCAGGTTAGCTATTCAACTTTGAAAAATCATTCAGCCATAAACACGTACCAAGGCATGATTGAGATGATTAAACAAACATGTCTGTGATCATAGATTTAAAAATTAAATTAAAAAAAAAAAAAAAAAACTTTGCATGGCTAATAATGGCTTAAGTTGCCTGTGAGTTGTTTAAATGAAATCAAATGGAAGTGCTCTAGTTTCTAATGGGGATGAATAGAGAAAAGAAATTAACAGTCACCGTAGCTAGCACAGAAACTGAACAGAGCAGCAAACCTAGACCCCAAACCCAAAAAGTGCGGCTCTCGAGCACTTGAGCCAATTTTTAGCTCAATTTTAAATTTGACCAAGCACGATTCAAGTTTGAAGTAAGCACTTGAGTCAAAGTTTTCCTCGAGTTAAAGTTTGTTCGAGCATGAGTCGAGTTCGAGCACCTCAAACTCAAGCTTGATCTTGTATGTTATAAGTTTGAGCTCGACGAGCTATTCTGAAATAAAGTATAATTTATATAAATACTCATAGCTAGAGTTGAATTAACGCCAAACTCAAGTAAAACTCATGTTTGAATAGAGTTTTCTTTATTGTAAGGCCTAATTGCCGGTAAAATCACGATCTTACAACTTTTTGCCGTTTTAACCAAACTTTTGGAATTTAGCAAATATATCATAACCTTGTCTATTTTTGGCAATTTGAATCACCGGCCGAATTTCGGGCTTTGTCTGTAGAGGTAGCTGATGACATGGCGATTTCTGTTGAAGTCGCAACAAAAAATATAAGCGAAGCTGGGGTACGAACCTAGAACCTAGGGCACATCAACTGAAAAATAGGAGTCCATCCGTTTGTCAACATGCAACCAGACCAAAGAAAGAGTCGAAATAGAGAAGCTGGGACTTTGGAGCTCCAACCGATTACCTCTGTCACACGAGAGATAGTAAAAACGTTTTTGATCGAAAAGGTTATACCAAAAATTCATGAAGTGTGGCCAAAAGAGGATTTCGGAAGATCATCTTCATTCAACAAGATAATGCACGAACTCATGTTGATCCAACCGATAGAGAGTTTCAAGTGGTTAGTTTACTGAATGGTTTTGACATTCGATTAATGTGTCAACCATCAAATTATCCAGATTTAAACATTTTGGATCTTGGATTTTTTCAGTGCCATTCAAACTTTACAACATAAGACTCATCCGAGAACAGTGGAAGAACTTATCCATGCAGTTCAAAAGTCATTTGACGAGTACCCTCCAAGAAAGGTGGATCATACATTTTTGAGTCTACAACTATGCATGCGAGAAATAATGAAAGTTGGAGGCTCCAACAAGTATAAGATCCCACACATGAATAAGACCGGATTGGAAAAGGAATGTCATCTTCCTAAACAAATCACTTGTGATTTGAGCCTTGTCCAAAGTGTAATGCATATGCTAGCATAATGTCTAGAATTTATTTGCAAATGTATAATAATCTTAGTACTCATTTGTTCATATGCTCTTGTGAGTATGGCACTTTTTTTCTTTGTTATCTTTAGATTTGTTCCACTCATCTTATGTTGTGTTTGAAGGGTACTGATTTTTTTGTGCCGTGCGATAAGCCTGGAGCTTTATTTTCCATCAGAGTTAAAATTATGTTTCAAAATTTTATTTTTGGTTTCCTTTATCTTTTTGTCTGTATTTGCTCATTGTTGGACGAGTTAATCGATTGTTGGACGAGTTAATCGATTACTCTCTACATGATATCTGGTTGTTGGCTGTGTTTTTTCCTTTTGGGTTAACAACTGAGCTGTCGAGGAGGGTGAAGGATGAAGAAATAGAGAATATTTTTATACTACACACAATAAAAAAAAAAGATCCTTTTTTTTTTAATTTCTATTTGGGTTTTTTTTTATTTTCGGTCAGTGTCTGGATTTTCGGGAAAGTAAAATAAATATGATGCCCGGCTGAAGAGCATTGCTTCGGGCCGCTCCTCCGTTTCAGATCTTGTTATTTTTTTAAAATCGTGTGTTTTGTTTTTGTGTTTGGTTTTGAGTTTCTGTTATGGACCTTGATTTAAGGTTATTTATCGAATAGGGGTAATAGGTTGGTAAAAAGGAATAGGAATGGGAGGTGGTTTTGGTTTATGGAGATGGACAGTTTTCTTTTGTTGAAAATGTTACGAGAGAGAGAGAGAGAGAGAGAGAGAGAGAGAGAGAGAGAGAGAGAGAATTGCTGCTTGTGGAGTGATGTAAAATGATGTAGTTTATGGAGATGGACACATTTCTTTCCTTTTTTCTTTTTTTTTTTCTTCTGTTATCCTTGTTGAGATTAAAGTTTATGTATATTGTCGATCCTGGTCCTAATAATATGTGGAGTTTCTCAAAAGTATAGATAGCATTGTTGAAAACAACAAAAGTTCTGATTTTTTCTTTGGATAGGCTTTGTTTATCCTCATGCACAAATTTTATTATGACAATTTACCTCAGTCCAAGGACTATGCAACCCAACTGCCATGAACAACTTACTAAGCATCAAATATAGCATATATTGGTGTTCCGTTCAAAAATGTTCAATTCATTAAACACTTTATTCAAGAAAACTGCAAGCATGCAACTACAAATATGTATAGAAATAGGTTCAGTTGAAACAGGAGGACCTCATTTCACAGTTAACAATTGGATAAGATTAAAAAATAATATACATACAAATCCATCTTGATTACTAGTATTGGGAACACGTGCAGGGAATCTTGAACCAAGTCTTGAGTTCAGAGGACGAGCATTGTTTAAAGATACTACGCCTGAGTTACGTGGAGTTACACGTGCATCTAAAGTCTTGTTTTCTTTACATCAGATTTTATTCAGGAGGACAATGAGATTTCTAAGTCCAGGCTCGTAAAGTTATGGGTTGCGGAAGGATTTCTCAAACCGGTTAACGGTAAAGTTTTACGCAAGACAAAACACAGAATGCAAAAGAACCTACCCTTGTCGAAAAGCAAATATGCATAGATGAAGAAAGTTTTTATACCATTTGATAAGACTTCTAGACCCCAATCCAGTTGTCCTCTGCTCCACCCCGATTCGAGCTCTCCAAGACCTGCAATGACACCGGGAGTTGATCCCGGCGGTAAACCTCCGACGCTCAAGTTAGTAAAGAGTAGAGGAAAAATCGTATGTAACTGCAAGTAGTATTAGGGTTTTAGGTCTCATTCCCTCCTTACCATCTCCCCTGCATTACCTATTTATGAGTATTCGCTTAGCTTTCTTCCCACGCAATGATCCTTTCCCGTCAGATTATTTGATCCCCCATATCATGACACTACACGTGTCCATTGTACATCTCTCCTCCATTTGATCGACCCTTATACCATAATGGGCCGGTGAACGCCTCTTACGCTAGCTCTTTAAGCCCAATGAATGCTATGCTAAGCCTACGTAAATTCGGGCTACTGATACATATGCGGTCGGGCCACAATGAAGCCCCTTGGGCCGAGCCACCAATAAGATCATAAGACCGAGCTCCTTGAGGTCGGGCTACCAATAAAGCTGTCAAGTTGAGCTGCCCATAAAATAAGAGAGCTGAACTCCATTTGAGCCAAACAACTAGGTGTCGGTTTATCGAGCCACTTCTATATGCTATATCATCTAGTCCTCCTATTATCAAATGTGCTATCGTATATTGAACTTGATAGACTCGTTTGATAATTCCCAGAGTGTCTGAATAACCGATCTCCCCTCGACTTGGAGCTGGTAAAAATGTCAAGTACCTCATGTGATTTTTCAACCGGGTTACTAAAATGTCTAGCCCCACGACCTCTCATCTGGGCTGCTAAAATGCTCGATACACGACTTCTCATCCGGGCGCCTAAAATGTCGAGCCCAATACACGATCTCATCCTGCTCGGCTTATAAATCCTAGCACCCATCCGTGAGCACCCACTTGCTCGATTTACAAACACAACCGAGCAAACATCCATGAAGATCATCTTGCTCGGCCTATAAAGCCAGAGCAATCGTGCAACCCAATCAGCTTGGTCCATGCACAAGACCGAGCACAAAACCGCAAAAATCATCTTGCTCGGCTTATAAAGCGAGCCAACATCCGCGTAGATCATCATGCTCGTTTTGTAAAGTCGAGAAAACATCCGCGAAGGCCAATCTGCTCGATTTTTAAGGCCGAGCCAACATTCGCGAAGACCAACCTGCTCGGCATATGATCAAAACCGAGCAATCATCCGTGAAGATCACCCTACTCGGGCTCATTTTCCCTTTTCACACTAGTGGGCTGAATGCATAAGTACAGTCGTAAATCTCATATTTGCTATGTACAAGTAGCTCGGTCTGTATCCGAGTAACATCCGAACATCAACCTGCTCGGTATGTGAGCAAACCGAGCAAATACCCACACATCAACCAACTCGATCCAACTTCGATATGGGTACACCTTCTGCTCGGCCCAAGTACGATATGTACACATATTCTCCTCGGCCAAACCTCACAATGTACACACATTCTGCTCGGCCCAAGCATGCTATGTACATGCATTCTGCTCAACCCGAGCTCATAATGTACACACCTTCTGCTCGGCCAAACCTGACAATGTACACACATTCTGCTCGGCCTAAGCATGCTATGTACATGCATTCTGCTCGGCCAA